TTACTCAGCAGTTGTAGAAATGAGCAAGGAACAAGTAAGCGTGGATGTTTAGAGATTTTATGAGTTATTAGTCATATTTGGTGAATTGTCACTGTTTTCTCGTGTCTTTAGCCTGAAGCAAATTGGCATGAGTTTTCTATGTGGCTCCATTATGTAGGGATTTACACACCTAACAAGTGAAAGAGCATAAGTTTAAGCTGGGGAGGAGACATAAATTTCTCCTGGCTTGCATCAGGAAGGGAAGCTGGAGTTAAAGTAAAAAAAAGTTGCCAAACATGTGTAGCTACCTGCCGTTGCAACACTTTGTCACTAAGTGCGCTGCTGAAAGTAGCTTTTTAGGTAACCGTTTTCTTTGTGATAAATCGACCTTTATGTAACTCACTGTGACGTTGAGAGAAGGCGTGGGTTTTGCTCTCAGGTTGAGTTCTCTGATCCTCCCAGGAAGTCACTATGTTGTTGGAGGGGTGCCTCTGGGGTGTTTAACTTGGATACTGCTTGTGGAGTTTGTTTTTTTCTGTATAGTCTCAGTGACATTTGGCTTCTGATAACGCTACCTGTTTGAATAACCTGTTCACTAAAAGGGTTTGAAAGAGTTTATTTAAAATAAGACCTTTAGCTAGTTCTACTTAAACAATCAAAGATTTATATATTTTTATATCTTGGAAAACATCCATATATGTGGATTGTTTATATTTTCAAGTGTTTTTAAAGGGTGTGGATCATTTGGAGCATTTTATCTTCATTAGTCTTTGATGAATTTTCATCAGTTTTTGATTAATTTATCTATGTAATTGATGTTTTCATCTCACTGGAAGTTTCCTAACTTCACATGAACTTATCTGAGATTAAATTAGATGCAATCACACTACAATACTTTAAAGATTTGTAAAAAATCCTTTTTAGGAATTGGTTGATAATGTTTTTTATTATGTTGGGCTGTCATGTGACTTTTATCACCGTGACTCCTGTACACACTGTGATAGGGCTGAGCTACCCATGAAATAGTTTGCTTAATAAACCAGTGACTTGGTGTAGTTTAGTGTGCATGGTAGCACTGAGTGAATGTCTGCAGGGCTAGCTGTTCATTAGCCTTCTTAGAGGATCAAAGAAGCTTAGTGTCATTGTTTTCGGTCTGTGAACCAAACTGAAACCTGAATGCTCAGAGCATTGGGTCCTCTCGACCTCGGTATGAAAAGAGCCGGTGCTGTTGCTGCACGACAAGAAATTCCTCATGCACCGAAGGCGGTGGTTTACAGTGCCAGAGTATCCTGAGCCAAATGCAAATCGTAGTTGTCTACTATTGTGTGAACACAAGGTGTCATTGTGTGCTATAATGCATAGCAGGTTGCTTACATATGTTAGCAAGGGTGTTGTCTGTGTGCATTAGCCTTCATAAGCTTTGTTTATTTGGAGTTTAACATGCAGCCTGTTTTAAAATGTGACTTTCACAGATCGATAGCAGCATCTTCATGTCAGTGACATGTTCACTGTAAACCATGGGCCTGTAGTTAATGGGCTGTTTTGGATCTAAATCTGTGAAATCTGTGGTGTGTTGAACAGTAACTGAATGATGTCCCATCCCAAATACATAAAAAATAAATTTATGACCAGGAAAAATAGTCAATTATTTGTTTTTTGTATTGTTTTTTTTTTTCTCTCACTTTAGCTGTGTTCTGTGTTTCCTCACGCAGAGGACCCACATGCCAGACATGGACCCCGAGACCACCCACACCGAGCCCGCAGTGGATGAAGAGGCATCTCTCTTCAGCACCATGGACCTCTTGCTGTTCTCCGTCATTGTCGGCTTTGTAGTTTACTGGTTCATGTCCCGTAAGAAGCCTGAGCCCATTCCCGAATTCAAAAAACTCGACACACCGTGAGTATCCATCAGCTTTCAGGTTCCATCTGGGACGCGAACACATGACATGAGGTTAACGAGTTGAAGCTCATAAACGGGAGTAGTCGGGGTACTTTAGTAGATCTGCTCAATAGCTTATTTTTATCTTCAGTCACAGTTTTAAATTGTTGTAGAGGTAATGGTGCTGTATTGTAAATTATCTTCATGCGTAGATGCACATTTAAACTGTACAGCTGGACACTCGTGAGTCAAAGTTTGCTTTCAGAAGCCAAGCTGCGTCATATGTAGACAGGTCCTCATCAAGAGCTGCTGCTCTTTCTAGCTGCAGTTGCATTTATGTATCCAGGGACTGGGTCTGATGCTGTTTGCTGAATGAGCTCATTAACGAGGACATTTACTGGGACACACAGATGATTTGTGCTGGTGGATAAACCTTTGGTCTTTAAACTAATCATGTGTCTTGTGTTGGCAGACTTCAGCTTCTTATCACCTTAACCTGGCAAAAAATGTGTTGGACTATATTGCATAAGTTATCTGTGTTATATGCCATCTGTTTTTTGTTTTGTTTTTTTAATCTTTATCTAGTAACTTATTGTTTTTTAGACCTAATTCTAAACATTTAAAGATTGATATGAATTTACAAATGCACAGTGAAAATGAAGATTAAACATAGGCTTCTTTTTTAGTTAGTTTTTTTTATTACATCTCTTCAGGTATATTTTAAGTGGGTATGATGCTGACCCAGAAAGCTTGATTGGTTGTCAATTACAATGGGTCGATACACGATCCATTCACTGACTCTCAGTTTGATCCAAATAAGGCCTGGTCAATTAAGGTAGAACGAAGCCAGTTATCAGATCACTAAGTTAACCCAGGGTTACCTTTACACGTTCACATGACCGGGGTGGTGTTGCACCAAGTAATCACTTTTAAGGGGTGTTTCACATATGACTCATTTTCTGCAGAAAACGATCCCTATGAGCGCCACCTGCTCCAGAGATGTTATTAGATGGTGATTAAAAATCTATAAAGAGTATAAAAAAACTGCAACACTGTTGTAAAAAGAACAAGAGATGAATTGCTAGTGTACAGAGCAATAAAATAAGCATTTTAATTCTGTTTAATTATTTTATGGCAGAGTGCGTTGTCTGTGCTGCTTTTGATTTCTAAGGTGACGGCTGCGCATTAGATGTCTCAAACTTTAAACTGCATACATTTAAACGTTGAAGCTTACTGTCCCATCTTAAAAGTAAAAAAAAAAAAAAAAAAATCTTTTAACTTTGCTTAAGAAAAAAAATCCTGATTGAGGTTGTTATAATTCATGCATGAAAGGGCTAACAGATATTTTAAATAAAAGAATAAGTGAAAACGTGGTGCTTCCAGATGATTATAAACCGAAACTTAGGACATAACCTCCTGACAGTTTTAGTTTTATTCTCTTAATTGCAGACTCGCTGCTGTTTTTAAGGGCTTGGAAGTAAATATATCAAATGGGCTTACTCTACATACAAATTTGACATGTCAGCAAGTACAGTTTGGATGTCCTGTTGTAGGATCGTATACTTATAGTAAAATAAAATGATCAAATGTTTGCTGCCAACAGAAAAAACACAAACCTTAGATGCAGCTGAAAAACTTGACACGTTCTCTTCGCAGGCTTCTGAGGGGTCTTCTACGAATAGTGACTCTGTTTTCTAGAGAATTGATTGGTCTGCAGGTGGGATTTTCATACCTGTTGCTCTCTAATCTGCAACATAATCTACTCCAGAGCGGGAGGGCTCTATAGCGATATACTCTGCTAAGAAGGGAACCACCTTCCTAGTACAGGAAACCCAGGATTAAGTCTGGATAAGCTATTATCCTGGTTTGTAGTTCAGGTGTCTGATGTTTCCTCTCACAGGATGATTTCCAGCCACTTCCTCACATACTTTAATCTGATATTAGCTGTGTACTCGGTATCTGCACATAGAGAGAGAGAGAGAGAGAAATTTATATTAAAAAAATCGATTCAGGATTTTAATGAATCGATTTTAATCGATGAATCGATTATAAAAACCCACCCCTAGAAAAAATGTATTGTAGAGCAGCCGAGGACTCTCTAGTAAATGTTTCGCTACTCGTGACCTTTGTTTTCTCTCACCCTCTTCTTTCACACAGTTTCTGTCCTCCCATAAACTCACCCAGGCGTTCTGTCTGGCTTCTCTTCTGAGCCCTCCCTCCCCACCCCACTCTGTTCACTCCAGGTACAAGCCTGTGCAGCCCACGAGTGGGCGTTCCTCTCAAGTTACATCCAGTTGAGTTAGGGTCACAGTTAAAGTGATTCCATCCGACCACAGCTGTTGGGGAAGGCTCATTCATTTTCTGTAGAGACTACTCACTCTGCTCTCCCCCATGATGGCGTAATGGAGGCTTGGACTTGCCTTGCACTGGCCACATTTTTTTATTTTTATTCTTATTTTTTCGTCCACTTCCAGGCATAAGCTTTATTTTTCTTTACTTTATTTTTTGGTGAAGGGGAAAAAAAATAAGAAAATGAAGCAAAAGGAAATCCTGACCATTTGTGTTAAAGCAGGAATTTGGTTGGAAAGGAGGTAATGACCCCTGGAGAACATGTTTTTGTTGAGGGCGGGCCTAAAACCCTCAAAGCTGGTCTCTCCTCCCCTTAAAGGGGCAGCGATTGCTTAACTGCTATGAAGGGGGCGTAGTTTTGTCTCTTTCCTGTGCTTTTGTTTTTGGCCCTGAACCCATTTTGAAAGTTCCCTGGAGAACGAACTAGGCAGGCGCGCCAAGTTCCCTTTTGTGAGCCCTCTCCAAAGGTGGAAAGTTGAGGCTGAAGACAAGCAATCCATTCTTTGTCCACAGTTAGTTTTTTTTCTTTCTTTTAAATCATCCCCACCGCTGCTTCTTACCCTCCCCTCGTCGTGGGTGCGTGTTTGTGTGTGGGTGCGCTCTGAGCTTGTTCCACCATTGGAGGGCCATGTCACAAATGAAATCCTTTTATGATAAATGAGGTTGCCATGGAAATGACATCCCCCCCCCCCCCTTCCTCTCTCCTCCTGTTAGGTGGGGGTAGGGGATACTTCAGGGGAAAAACATACCATTCATTGCCCCCCCCTCCTCCTTCTCTTTTCTCCTTTAGTGGTCCACTGAAGAGTTGCTCTGATAACCAGCCAAATTCTCAGATTGGACTTTTTTGCTCCGAACACCTCTGAGGCTGGAGAGGAAGAGGGGCGGGGATGAGCAGGAAGGCATTTTCAGCCCGAGATCGCTTCAGTGTGTTTGTGTGTGAGTCAAACGTGTGGGTCTGCAGCTCGGCTGGATTTTATGGGAAAGTCAGTTTCCCACCATTGTGTTCTCAGCGGTTGCCAGACACTCTAAGGGCTTGTAAGCTGCTGTGCTCGTGCATGTGTGTGTCTGTGGAGTTGTGTAGAGCTGCTGGTTTCACAGAGCAGTACAGGAAGAAGCTGAGTTCAGATTGTGTTTGAAGCGTCTAAGGGGAAGTCGGGCCGCTCTACAAACCTGTAAATATCTCTCTGACTTTTTGGGCTGGTGTTACTTTTCCATCTTGCACCTCTGGACCGTCCTGCCCTTTTTATTTTTTTTATTTTTTTCGAGCGTGGCGGCTCCCGGTGTTACCTAGCCAGCAGTGCTAGTGGCAGTGGTGAGCTACAGGGCTGCATGCCATGGGCTGCGTCTTCTCCCTGCCAGAGGACAGGAGAGATGCTGCTGAGAGGTCAGTGACATGTTTGATTTACTGCTTCAAAGCATGATGCAGTGTGTTTTTAATACTGCTTACTTGAAGGATGATGTAACATTTTTTGTAACATTTGCCACTGGCTGCCTGCTGATTAGGCTGATAGCACCGACCACATTTGGAAGTAATTTGTAAGCACTGAGTAGTAGCTTGTTTTCAGTTAAATCTCTGCACACAAAGCTTAGCTGTCTGTTTCAAGACGTTAAAGCGAGTGCTATAAGAAGCTATACGTTGTTTCTGGAGGTTATGTAAGACGGAGATAATATCTATTTGACTGCGAGTCCAATTTGATTATTGGCTGCTCTGTTTCTTGTTTTCCCTTTACCGCACAGGTCACTTGCACATTTACAGTCTTGTTTGCTTTAGTTCTTTATATCAACTTTGCATACGGCTCGGTTTCCATGTTACTGGCACATTTAAATAGAAAGGAATGGAAATGCATGTCATTCATTGGTTGTGGCGTCATAAGATCAAGATCAGGGGAAAACTTCCTGGATTGGTTCTTTATCTTAATTTCTATTTGTGCAGCTAATTACTGAGCAGCAGGTTGGAGGTTTGTTTTGACACAAGAAATGGTTAAAAAAAAAAAAAAAAAAGGCCTGTATTTATATAGCGCTTTACTAGTCCCTAAGGACCCCAAAGCGCTTTACATATCCAGTCATCCACCCATTCACACACACATTCACACACTGGCGATAGCAAGCTACATTGTAGCCACAGCTGCCCTGGGGTGCACTGACAGAGGCGAGGCTGCCGGACACAGGCGCCACCAGGCCCTCTGACCACCACCAGTAGGCAACGGGTGAAGTGTCTTGCCCAAGGACACAACGACCGAGACTGTCCAAGCCAGGGCTCAAACCGGCAACCTTCCGATTACAAGGCGAACTCCCAACTGTTGAGCCACAATCGCCCCGTGGCTCAAGAAGCCAGACTTCCTTGCATTTTATTTTGTTGTCGTCTCAGGCGATAGTTGTCCAGGTTTTTCAAGATTTTTTTGGGGGGGTTTCGGTCATTTTCAATCCAGTGTCTGTTTCTGACCATTTTCAGAGGAATGTTTTTTGTTTGTAAGCATAATAAGGGATGAGCCAGTGTTGTCTACACGTGGTAGACATCTTCACAAAGAACCAGTTTTGTTCCCATTTCTTTAGTTGACTCTGCACAAAATGCCAATAACAGTTTGACAGATTCTCAAAGAGCTAAAAATTGGCACATGTGCTCTGCATTGTGTTAAAAATCTGAGAGTACTGGGTAAGTGGGAAAACAAAAGACGTGTGTCTAAACAATACCTATCTACACAAGATGTACAGCATCTCTTATGGAGCAAATCCAGCAAAGACCTGACACCGAACCTGAGAGATGTTCACTGAAGAGTGAAAATCGGTGGCAGGTCTTTGGATCAAGTCATCGTCATTGTGTTAAGGAAGAGGTTGAAAGTGATGCAGTGAGTGTCTACGGCCATCCTTAAAATATGGTCGAGGCTCTGAGGCTACGCCTCAGCTGGCTAGTAAATCCACCACACCAGTTGGTGATTGATCCTGATCGTCTCATTTTATCTGATATCATTTGTGTTTTAGGCTACAAGGGTGGGGAGATTGATTCATAGTCACAGCCTTTGCTGCGTGTGTATATCTGATGTATTATAATGTAACCGGGCGCTGCATTGACTTTGAACTCCCGTAACCTTGCTGTTTTGCAATTTCACACAGAAATCCTTCCTTTTGGCGGGTGGTTCAGAACTGATAACACGTCTAACGGATCCTGCTGAAGCTGTCAGGAAGGGTTTCGCTTCAGTGCAAAGGCTTGTTTTTAATTTTGATCAGCAATTTGGTTCAGAGGAAAAACTTTTTTTTTCTCCTTTAATATATAATTACACGTTCAACGTTAATCCCACACACACTGCAGGGGTTAGGTTCACTGAGGTTGTATTGGGTTTTTTGTGCCCTTTGTTGGGAGTACAGTGTACTTTGGAAACCTGTCTTACGTCATAGAGTTTGTCAAATCAATATGTTGCTGCTCAGCGTTAATGGCTTTGCTGTAGGTGTTGTCCTCCTGAATCATGGAAATCGAACAGTGTGTTCATCTTGCATTAGTATTTATGCTCGTAGTCATGTGTGGCCTGCGTATTCCTTTATCAGTGCAGATGTCCACTCAGGGCTTTGATGCTGAATGAAGCTGTGCTGCCTTTCATTTTGCTGCGTGCTGCTGTTTTTTTAAATGTTTCAGTCCATTAGTGACTGACTTGGTGAATATGAACCCAGAGTTTAAATCATCTGCTGTAACACATTATATATTGAGCACTGTGTAATGAATGCATCTGTGGGTCTACAGATGATTGGTCTGAGCAATGCTTGTGTAATTGCCTTCTCACTGATGTAAGGATTGCATCAACTGAGACTGGTGAAGACTTGCGAAACATTTCTTTTTAAACTGTGTCAGCTTACAGTAAATGCATTACTAAGCTAAAAAATGTGTCCTTAAGTAAAACAAAAATCCCCATCTTTAAAAATAGTCAGTATGAAACAGAAATGAGAAGCCTTTAAGTAATCGAGTGAAGTGACGCTGCACTGAGTGTCATACACACTTAATTCTCCTCAAAGTATTTAAGTGGTTCTGCCACCCTGCGTTGTTGGGTGTTTTACCAACACCTCCACTACCCCAGTATCCACCTGTAGGCTCTAAGTGTATAATCGTTCCCTATTTCCGTAGGTAATATTTGCTCAGTGACGAGCTCAGTCTAGATGCCGGCCGGCCGCGCCTCCCAGAGGCTTTTCTTAAAGGGGCGTTTTTCCTTCCCACGGTTGCCAAATCTCAAAGGGGGTCAAGTGATTTTTGGGGTTTTCTGTTTTCTTTGCATTATTGTAGAGTCTTACAATAGAAAGCACTTCGAGGCACCTGTTGTTAAATATGCGATGCAAATACAATTAAATTCAAACTAAATTCAAATTCTGTTGCTGTAATAAGTCATTTTAATACATTATGTTCGACTCATTTGTGATGATAAACCAAATTCTCCTTAGCATGTGGGATCCTATATTTTTAGTTTTGTTTTTGTTTTGTTTTTTTCTCCGCCTGTTTTTGTGTTGCGTTGATGTTATTTTTGACTCGGGGCAGGGCAGCATACTTACAGATTCGTTTTCGTATGTTTGTGTATCATGCTGGACCAATCCTCTTCCGAGAGTCATCCTTTAACCCTTAGATGCACACGTGGGGTCAAAAATGACCCCATGGTAGGGCTGCCACAAACGATTATTTTGATAGTCGACTAGTCACCGATTATTTTTGCGATTAGTCGACTAATCAGATCATCATCCATTAGACGTAAAACTACAGCTTATTGCACCAGCAGCATCTGCTCTTATATAACTATCATTAGCTTACAGCTTTAAGTGTTTAAGGTCTGTGCTAACTAAAAATAAAGACAAGATGATAGTTTATTAAATTTTAATGAAATTTGCAGATTGTTTCGGTGAAGATTAATAAACTCCTTGCTATCTAAAATATAACAGGACACTGGAGTATATTCTGGAGCATCTCACACTTCTGATAATCAGCTGTCTGCTTGATGTTTATTCAGCTGTGTAAAAACTATAACTTTAATCTCAGATAAACTGATTTACTCAGGAACAAATAAAATACTAAAAAAAAAAAGCCAAACAATAACATTTTAAGTTATCTAAGTGACTCATATATATTTAACCTGAGTAGCGAAAGACGGCGGTGGGTTTGAAAACGATTTGCGGGGAGTCCGGTGTTCTCACGGCGCTAGTGAGCCTAGCCCCCGGCTCGCTAACGAGCTAGTGGGTAACAGATGTCTCCGAAAACGTCGGAGCGCTTTTGAAAATATGTGGTGTCCTGATAAACTGAGCCGATATTTGAGGTTTACACAGCTACATTCTCGCCTGAAAATATGTTAAACGTTTATTTTGTGACCCAGAAAGAATAATAAGAGTAACATTAAAACTAACTAGCTACCGCCATTGTTGGAAACTGCGCTGGGCCGCGCTATGAATTCTGGGACACAGCTGCTTCTTCTTCTTCTTCGGGGTTTAACGGTAGCTGACATCCTTGTACATGCAATGCTGCCATCTTCTGTTTCAGTCCGTTATTACACTCTTAAATCCTGCCACTTATTCCTGCGTCTTTTGTGATCGTACAAAGTTTCAAACGACGCGTCGACTATTAAATCAGTCATCGACGATTTTGATAGTCGACGTAATCGTGACTAGTCGACAAATCGTGGCAGCCCTACCCCATGGGTTGTTTTTCTTCAAAATCTTTAAAATGCAAAGTTGTGATTTATTCATATTCCAGGTATTCCTCATAAAATATGTTTGTAACATGAGGCCATTTGCATTTTATTTATTTTTTCATTAATTTATAAAAAAAATGCAGTTTTTGTATCACTACCCCACTCTTCCACAAGTGGGGTCAAAAATGACCCCAAGCACTTTCATTCTTAGCAACTCTGACTGTCCCACTTACACTTCTGATGGATCAGGAATTAATTTTTACACAGTAACATACATGATTTATAGTCAGGGCTGCACATAAGTGGTCCGCAGGTGCGCATTCGCTGTCAAAATAAAAGTATTCCCGGAAATTCAGAGAATATGTGCCTCTTTTGTGGTGGAGGAACACCAAAGTAATTGCTTACGGAGCTTGCTTTTTTTGACATCTTTAAGAGTTCTGAACAAATGTCTGTCCTCCTCCAGAACATCTAATGTACACAAACGAGCATCCTAACTTCTTATCTGGTACGCGTCTTTTATTTTGACAGCAAATGCGCACCTGCGGACCATTTATGTGCAGCCCTGTTTATAGTTTCCTGTGCATTTCAAACATTGTCCTTTCTGATTTATTTATTTATTTATTTTTAATATTTAAAGTAACATGGCTGCTATGAGGCAAGCTGTGGACCTTGGCCTACAAATGATCCAGGACGGATGGGATGAAGAGCCCATCGGAGGCACTGACTCAGAATCTGACATCTCAGATATAGAGGACAAAGACTATTGTCCCCCCCACTGAACAAGGCCAGTCAGATACAGAGGAGTCCTTTGATGAGGAAATGAATATTTAGTCTAACAGAATGAGCCCCTCTTACTGCTCTAGCCACAATATTCTGAATTAGTCGGCCAGGGCTTGCACTTGGGTCTAGTACTGTCTCCCCAATAGATGCATGGAAGATGTTCATGTCTGATAACATAATAGAAGAGGTGCTGACATGCACAAACATGGAGGCACGAAGAGTAGCCACAGACAGGGGAAAAGAGCGGAAAAATGTAATCAAACATAAGCTCCTGGCCTTCATTTGATTGACCATCCTTGCAGGAAATGAGACGAACTGGGATGTACCAGTCGGTGTGCTTTTTGGGAGTCCTCTGCATAACCCATTGTACAAGGCCACTATGTCAATTCAAAGATTTAAAGATATTTGCAGTTTCTTGCACTTTGATGACAAGAGGACCAGAGCCTATGGACTGAAAACAAACCACATGGCAGCTTTCAGCTACATATGGGACCTGTTCTTGGTCAACTGCAGGCAGAAATTCATGCTCGGTGATTGTGTTACAGTGGCTGAACAACTTGTGCCTTTCAGAGAGAAGACCCAGCTTCTGCAGTATATGCCGAGCAAGCATACAAAAGTGATACAAAAACTGCAATTTCTTAAAATTAATGAAAAAATAAATAAAAATGCAAAGGGCCTCATGTCACAATCATGTTTTATGAGGAATACCTCAAATATGAAAATATCACAACTCTTCGTTTTAAAGCTTTTGAAGAATAACAACCGAGTTTATAGAAAAATGCATTGTTTCTATTTGGGGTCATTTTTGACTCGTGGAAGAGTGTAGGTACTGGTAGGTTGTGCATCCAAGGGTTAAGGCAGAACATGGTACATCGGAAATCTTTCAATGTGCAAACCTACATTCATCTGCCACTTTATTAGGTACACCTGTTCAGCTGCTCTTCTGTTTCTTGAACATAACAGTGAGTTCACTTGTGCGCAAGTTTCCAGTTGTTTTTTTTTTTGTTTTTTTTTTTTAAACCATGTCATTAAGAATTGAGGCTGTTCTAAAGTCAAAAACAGGTCTAGCTACTGGCAAGGTGTACCTAACAAAGGGGCCACTGACTGTATGAATGTCCTGTCTCCAGCAGGTTTTGCACTCATGTCCCAAACATCCAAAGCTTCTGGCTGCTACACAAATCTTTGTACCCACCTATTAGATGTATGAGGTCATGCTCGTGAATGTTGATTCAGTTCAGGTTTAGAGTACGTGGGCAGCTGATGATTTAACTAAGGCTTAAAAAAAACAAAAAGTACTTTGACCTCTCCAGCTGTCAGCCATTTGGAGGACAGAAAACTTGCTGTAATTCCTCCATCAACTTCTTTGCAATGGTTGTTACTGCTAAATGGTCTTCAACCTTTGTAAAAGGATTGTCGTCTCTGCTTATTTGTAATTGTAATATTTCATTATCTCTTCCAGGACACCCACCACAAGAGAGACCAGTTTCATTGAGAAAATGAAGAAAACCGTAAGTAATGCTACTTTATCAGATATATTTTAAAATAACACTGTATAGACGCGTGAGCTCCAGACTTGCAGAGTTAATGTTGTGGTTATTCACCAGCTAATAATTATCTTTATGGGCCCTGCAGAGTAGTTTTGTTGCCTTCTTGCGGAGTGGATGAAGCATACAATAACTGTAATGGTATCCCCGCTGATGTGACCACATTAAGCTCTTGATTTCCAAACAATGTTTTGACTTTTGTGGAACTGTTTTGTAGCCAGAGCTGAGCAAAGGCTGGGGTTTAGCTGATGTGGTTTTTGAAGAGAATAGTTCAGATACCACCGTGGTGGCAGGAAGGATCTTTGGCCCCCACTGAGGTTTAACTTTGCCCCCGTTTTTGTCTCAGCAGTCCTGAAGGTGGCAGTTTATTTTATGGCACAGATTTACACATGGGGATGTTCATGCAGAAGTCCTATAGTTCAAACGCAGGTCTAAGGATGCATTTTATGTAGATTTAAATAGATTACATACTTCGTGATGTAATGCATTTACATTATGTAATGTAAATGATGAGTACATGTCTTTGTGTGCAGGGAAAGAACATCATCGTGTTCTACGGGTCTCAGACGGGTACAGCAGAGGAATTTGCTAACAGGCTGTCCAAAGACGCTCAGCGTTACGGCATGAAGGGAATGGTTGCTGATCCAGAGGAGTATAGCATGGTAAGTATTGCCAGTGAATGAAATGCACAGCACAGTGAGGATAAATGCAGTTATTCTGCGTTGTTCAAACATGAAATGTTTGATTTTAACGATTTGTAGTGAACCTTCTTTCCTAGATAAATAAAACATGTACACACCTCATCACATCAGTTGTTCCAGTCACAGTTGGATGTAATCTCTGCTTATTGAGAATCAGTGTTTGCATCCATTTTAAACTTCAGCGTCTCCGATTCTCTCTCGTTGCAGGGGGAACTGTCCCGTCTGTCTGAGATTACAAACTCACTCGCCATTTTTTGCATGGCCACCTACGGAGAAGGAGACCCAACTGATAATGCACAGGACTTTTATGACTGGCTGCAGGAAAACGATGATGAGGATCTCTCCGGATTAAACTACACTGTGAGTTTTTATGCTCAACTTTGGTGCGTGTAAATTCTGTCAAATTAAAAGCGACTTCAGGAGAACTTCTTTGTTGAAAGTAAAGTTTTAAAAAGTACAACGCAGAGAGTGAAATGGACGCTGGGCAAGATCGGTGAAGTTTGTCGTATGTTGGACTGTTACTTCCTACCAGTCGTGCTACACTGTCAAGATGGAAAGCCCAGTCAGGTTATAAACTGACCTTTGTAAAGTAAAGAATAATAAGTGGAGATGATGACGACGATGATGATACTTGGAATTTGAGTCACCAGCTACACAGCCTGGATTTGCGTCACGCCGTTCATGTGTGACATTGTGTTATTGTTGGGACTCGATGTCCTCATTTGAGTGAAAAATTTGAAAAACTTTTTTTTTTTGTAACGAACTTCTTGTTTTCACTGTTGTGTATATTTTGCCATGTGTGCAATTTGAGGGAGCAGGTCAAGTGGAGGACAAAATAGGAAGTGGCATGCCTAAAAACTATCCACAGCAGATGAACAGTATCTGGAAGTCATGACTTTTGATGATCACTTCCTGCACTTGTTTCCCATTTTCTTTGCAAAATACGAAGAAGTGAGGTGTGACTCAAGACTTTTGCACATTCCTGTGTTTTGGTTTTCATCAGTAGAAAACCGGTCGGACATCTGCAGTGATCTCACAGTTGCACGGGATTATTTCGAGCGTGTTATTTTTGTGGCACTGAACCAAAGCCGGGTACTGGCCACTCTTCATTGTGTCCCGGTCTGTTTTCAGGTTTTTGGTTTGGGCAACAAGACGTATGAACACTACAATGCAATGGGGAAGTATGTGGACAAAAGGCTGGAGCAGCTGGGAGCAACACGCATCTTTGATCTTGGTATGGGAGATGACGATGGCAAGTAAGTGACTGATGGATCCTCCGTGCCTAAAAAGAAGTGAGCTCCACATTTTTGGGTGGTGCAGCACTTATTGGGGGTTGAGATAGATTAGACCCTTTAAGATGCACATTTGAAGACTTTATCAACCTTTTTAAAATAATAATGCTTTTTTCGGCTCTTAGTTTGGAAGAGGACTTTGTTTCATGGAGAGAGCAGTTCTGGCCGGCTGTCTGCGAGCACTTTGGAGTGGAAGCCTCAGGAGATGAATCAAGGTGAGTTCAGGGACAGTTTGTGCCATGCATCATCATTTCATTATTTCAGACTTTTGATTTTGCAATTGTGCAACAGTTGCCTTGAGACATTTTTACCTTTCTCTCGTCCTGCCTGCTGTTTTTTGTCCTGCTGCATCTCTAAAAAGAAACTACAAAGACAAAACACAGGATGACTTGCTGTGATTCACTCCATATTGAATTATGTCTCCGCGTGTGCACAGCTTGCAAACTGTAGTTTGTTTTGTCTCTCAGCATTCGACAGTACGAGCTGAAGGAGCACACTGACATCAACATGAACAAAGTGTACACTGGAGAGATCGGCCGCCTGAAGAGCTTTGAGGTCCAGAAGCCGTGAGTATCGTAGCAGAAACTAATCACTGCAATAGAGACCGATCATTCACTGCTAGCATTTCACCTGCATTTATGACAAACTCCAGACTGGGTACAAGTGACCCTTTCTGCCCTCTAGTGGTTAAAAAACCCCAACCCTAAACTTTTTACTCTCTTAGAAATAAATCTTTTTAATACTTAAGTGCTGCTCTTTTATTCATAGGCCTTTTGACTCCAAAAACCCCTTCCTGGCTCTAGTGACTGTCAACCGCAAACTAAATAAAGCTGGTGACAGACATCTGATGCATTTGGAGTTGGACATCACAGGCTCCAAGATCAGGTGAGGCTGGATGGGATCATTGCTTAGTAAACCTTTATCTCCCTGATTTCATGCAACGATGTGCACAGCCCTGATGTATTTTTAGCTTTATGAATTCAGCTCAAAGTCTGAATTTTTTTTTTTTCTCATTCTCATTTCAGATACGAGTCCGGAGATCACGTTGCAGTTTTTCCCACAAACGACTCTGCGCTGGTGAACAAGCTGGGACAGATACTTGGGGTTGACCTTGATGTGGTTATCTCTCTTAATAACCTTGATGGTATGGCATTGACAGACCCAAAGCACCTTGACCTTACCAGCTCGTCCCTCCCACAGTCTAGTGAAATCTACCCTTGATATTCAAACTTGCTGTATCAGCTCACTTAATGTCTGAGTGACAGGAGTACTGTTATATTATGTAATAGCAGTAATTTAGCGGTAGTATAAATACTTAAGTTAGCTGTTGTTATAAAGGTCAGTTGTGGTGAATAAGACTGCTCGTTATCACTGAAAGTTGAGTAATAAGGCTACAAATGTGAAACTTGCTCATTCAGACCACGTGCAGTTTATTAATACAACAAAAACTGGCCTATAACCACACTTTAAAGCTATTTTACCACTAGTGTGGTAGAAAGATGAACCCATAAATCCACTGAAGATGCCCAGATACATTTTAAATCTTTTTCTGTTAGCTGTTGACCATTAAAGTGTTTTCAGAGTAGTGTCCTTGCTGTTTTGTGTTTCAGAGGAGTCCAACAAGAAGCATCCGTTCCCCTGCCCTACCACCTACCGCACGGCCCTCACTCACTACCTGGACATCACTCACCCGCCTCGCACCAACGTCCTCTACGAGCTGGCGCAGTATGCCTCTGATCCCAAAGACCAGGAGAATATGCGCAAGATGGCCTCCTCCTCACCCGAGGGCAAGGTCAGTAATGGGTGGTAGTTGGTGGTTCGGGGCAGTGGCGGCATACAGCATGTGTGGTTGCCTGCACGTGCCTCCTGGAATCCATTTTGTAATCAAAGATCGTTGCGTTAAGTTCTTGCAGATATAATTATTTATTGACTTCCTTGTGCGGACGCCGGACAAGCGGGAGTCCAGGGACAGACCAAAGGTTTTTCAGTCATGAGGGCCTGAGGCTGAGTTTTAATTGAAGCCTGGTCGGTCGAAGAAAAGAATTAAAGAGCTTGGACCTGACCGTCCAGAGTTAAATATTCAGCAGCAGTCCACGGATCTTGGGAGACGGTATACATGGACGTTCTCCAGCACGCTATATGACAAGCGCAGTTGGTTAACGGGGCGCGGGGTGAGCAGTGCCTTTTGTTTTCCGTGTCTGCTGTGTCAGAGTCCTCGTACTGAAAGGTTGTGGACCACCACAGTTTTACGGGACTTAAAGCACTTAACAGAGAAGTACAAAAGACTCGAGCAGTTGTAGCCACTTGGACAATAGCGTAGTTTGTTTGTTTTCCTGCATTGGTGTGACTGCAGTCACTCTCAGATTATCGAAGGTTTGCAAATGATTGCTGCCTAATTTATAAATGCAGACAGATTGCCTTCAGTCTGAAAGAGTCTATGTCAGCGTAACTCGAGGAAACGTATTGCATGCGATGGCCAATTTGACCCCACTCTTGTTTTGTTTTAAATAATTCAAATTTTATTGAATTCTGCATAAAAACGTCAAAACGGAACAAAGCAGTTCAAAGACACTGACAGAGAGAGGTATATAAGGCTGTTTGTATAATAGCTTCTTGGGTGGTAATGATTTGCAAGTCGTCTGGTTCAAACGAAGTTATATTTTCACTTGTGAAAGTGTCCCAATCTTCCTTGGCCATTTCATTTTCATGATTAAGCCCTCCCCAACGTCTTCTCACAGACGGCAGTGTTCGTCTTCTGTTCAGTCCGCGTTTTTAGTGTCTGAGTTTGTCACTAGCTAAGAATCCGTTCTCATGCTGATTGTCACATGGCAAAATTCCCCCCAGGTCTAGTGGTGGTGTTAGAGTAGCTGTTATCAAGTTAATGTAACAGAAGCTGGATCACAAAGCTCATATGAATTGTTCTCTGCTTATTTGCAGGCCCTCTACCAGAGCTGGGTGTTGGATGCCAGCAGAAACATCCTCGCCATACTGGAGGATATGCCGTCACTGAGGCCTCCTGTCGACCACTTGTGTGAGCTGTTGCCCCGTCTCCAGGCTCGCTATTACTCCATCGCCTCCTCTTCAAAAGTAAATCCATTTCCTCTGCAGTCAATAGAAGGAGTTAAAGTCATATACTTCTGTTTTAACGTTTATTAAGGAATTGAATAAGCCGTCTGATTTTTAGGAGCGAGCTGTTATTAACTCTTCTCTTTTATGCAGGTTCATCCCAACAGCATCCACATCTGCGCCGTCGTGGTCGAGTACGAGACCAAGACTGGCCGCACCAACAAGGGAGTTGCGACCAATTGGCTGAAAAACAAACTGGTCACGGACAATGGGCACAAGTCCACCGTCCCCATGTACATCCGCAAGTCTCAGTTCCGCCTGCCGTTCAAATCCACCAACCCGGTGATCATGGTCGGCCCTGGGACTGGAATTGCTCCTTTCATGGGCTTCATCCAGGAGAGAGGCTGGCTCAAACAGCAAGGTATTTATGGACTAATGTCGTCTAACCTTGACAAGAAACTGATGAATGAACTAGTTATAGTAAGGAATTTCTATCTATATTAGCATGTTGCGCTATCATCTATCACTAGTGCAAACCTGGAGAGTGTATCCAAGGTTACTTTCTGTCAGTATCTATGTACGGATGTCCCCTAAATGCCTCATACGCACGCAGTGAGCTAGGAAGAGGAACATTTTTAATTAACATTTGCTTTGCTCTGTGGCTGTCATCTGATTATAGGGAAAGAGGTTGGAGAGACCGTGCTGTATTTCGGCTGCAGACATAAGAACGAGGACTACATCTACCAGGAGGAGCTCGAAGGCTCAGAGAAGAACGGAGTCTTAACAAAGCTGAATGTTGCCTTCTCCAGAGACCAGGACCATAAGGTACAGCTGCCTACGAGACTCGGAGTGGTGCATTATATCAGATTTCCTCTGTTGACAATGTCTTGTTACATCAAAATCGGGAAATGTACCTGGATTGTCTGTTAGTAGTTGATGTGAACTGCTTCTTTGGTAAAATGAAAAATTAAGATAGCAGAAAATCATTTGATTTATCAGTTTAATCGGGATCCCCGTTAGCATCAGTCTCAGTACCCTAGTGTACCCACGCGACACGTGACATGGCATCAGATCGGCGAGCACAATGGCTCCATTACACACAAGCCAACATCCACAACACCTTAACATAATACTAGCTGCTTCTAAATATACAGATGTCACTTACTTTCATGGAGAGAACATAAAACTATAACAGGACACAGAAAGAAGCGTTACACATTGATACAGTACAGTAATGATTTTTGTGAACGTTTCCTCTCTTCCAGTGTAATGTCCCTTTCGCCATATCCAATTTACAAACGTATACAAACAGGATTCTAGACTTGAGTACCTTCCCGATTAAACTCATCACAGCACAATCTTACTCAGATCAGCCCAGATTACCAAGAAAATTGTTTGCATTCAGTTCTGTCTGGTTGTTTAGCTGTTTGTAGATAAATACACTGTTTTCTGTGCAGGTTTTTGACGCGCACATATAAACATTGTTTTTCTGTTTTTTCAAAATAAAGGTGTACGTGCAGCATCTGCTGACCAAAAATAAGGAGCATGTCTGGAAGTTGATTCACACGGACAACGCTCATATCTACATCTGCGGGTAATTACCAGATTTCAGTTGTTACGTGTGTGTGTGTGTGAGAGAGTGAGTGTGATATTAAAGTATGCAGAAGATGCCACTGTGGTTGGGCTCATCTCTGATGGACATGAGATGGCGTAGAGGGCGGCGGTGGAGAACTGTCTTGCTGGTGCTCAGAAAATAACCTAATGCTGAACGTCCTTAAAACCGAAGCGACAGGTGGAATCTGTGTCCACCTTTAGGTTTCTGGGCACCCACATCTCTGCTGATCTCACCTGGATCCACAACACAAACTCCCTGGTTAAAAAGCCCCAGCAGCAGTTGCACTTCCTCAGTGTCCAGAGAATAAGCTGACCTTCTACTGCTCAGAACAGAAAGGCTGCGCAGAGGGTAATTAAACCTGCCCTCAGCCAACTCTGGTGGCCATCACCAAATCCTCCTGTTTCAGAAAAACCATGGCCATCACAGGTGACCCCGCCCACCACCTGATTGACCTGCTGCCTTCAGGTCAGTCAGGTCAATCAGGTCCCAAACCTTCAGCTTTTTCCCCTGGGCCATTCAGACTGTTAACAAACACTATGTTAGCTCGTTAGGTGAACTTTCACACTGTGGAGCCAGTCAGGAATTCTGCACTACATGGAAGTGATGCAAGCCTGGATTCTCTTTAGCAATGTGGCGCCTCCTAGTGAAATAGTTGTGAAAGTACAGTAAAGAACTTCTGTCTTATTTGTCTTATATGCATTGCTCACTGTCATTTCTTTCCTGTTATAGAGATGCAAGAAACATGGCTAAAGACGTGCAGACGGCTTTCTACGAGATTGCGGAGCAGGTGGGAGTCATGACGCGCACCCAGGCTGTAGATTACGTGAAGAAACTGATGACCAAGGGACGCTACTCACAGGATGTCTGGAGTTAAAGAGCCTCAAACCTGGCCTCACTTTGTGCACATACAGTAGTAGTTTTAACGTTTTTTATCGTCTGCCTTGGTCTAGACTGATTTAAAGAAACAAATGAATCAATTTTAAACCTTGTGTTCGTACTCAACCTGGTTCACCTTGACAGCGACAGCTAACTGAAGAAAATGAGGCAAACTCTACCTCAGTAGATCTTACTAAACCAATAGAGCCACCTCCTTACTTTGGTTTGTGGAAAGACAGCTTGTGTTTTTTGAGATCCTCACACGATCCTAATTGTTTCAGCCCTGTGCTTTCCGGGGAGTGTAAAGAGCCTCCCATTTATAAATGAACGAATTGGTCTAGAATCCCACCCGCTCTAAATTCTTAAATCATGAGTATTAGATGCACAAGAGTGTCATTTGATTTTGTTTAAATGTTTTTTTTTTGTTTTTTTTTATTAGCCTCAGATTTAAGGTGTCACACCACAGCAGTTTTGTGTGTGCGTGTGTGTGTGTGTGCGTGCGTGCATGTGCGTGTGTGTGTTGCAGTGCAAACACTCAGAGTAGGCTGAGACATAAATGGACGCTGACTTTTCTCTCTGAGCTGATTCAGTAGCCGTTTCCTAGCAACAATAAATATCTAAAATGTTTTTAAAGTTTTTATTTGGTGTAACAAACTGGCATCGCAGGTACAATTGTGTGTTTACCTTTGTGTTTTGACAAGGGGGTTAGCATTTTATGCAGACGTTGCTGTTCATTTGAAAGAAGAATTTCGAGAGGCACCGAAAAAAAGGAGACTATCATATATAAAAACCATGAGATTATGTGCTTTTCTTTTCTTTTACATAGAGAAAATAAATATTTTTAACCAGTGATATTTTAAAGCATTTTGTATGTTATAGCCTGCCTCCCATGGGACTGTTGTTTTCTGCGATATTCACCTAAAAGCAGAGGATTGTGGGTTCATTGGGTGGCATTGGCAACTCTAACACGATAACCACCTCTGTTTGACTTTCTTATACTCTTCTGCGCCTCTCCCCCTTTTTGTTTGACCACACGTGCGCCGCTGCACGCAGAAGGTGGCCAGACGTATCCGAACATTAAACGTGTTCTCCCGTTTCAGTCCGTCAGAGCTCGTCACGGAGGTGTGGGGGAGTTTGAGGTCAGTCAGGCAGTGGAAGCGCAGTGCCTTTTTTCTTTTTCTTTTTTTGTGATGCCTTATGTATGGAGTTGGCAGTAAAGTCGGGATACTTCATTGTATGTTTATTCCTTCTTTCTTGCTTATATTTTGATAGAAAAGTTCATCTGAGACACTTTACCCAGTGCTGTCACTTTTATCATTCCTCTTTACAATGTAATCATTTGATTATATGGAGGCTTGCTTTTTTTAATTAATAAAAAGACTGAATAATTTTTGGAGTTTTGTTTTTCTTTCTCTTTTTTTTTTTTTTTTCAGGGGGGGTCATTAGAGGTATGTAAGGATTCCTGAGGCGCCTTGCACACCTTTTAGCAGGTGTGATTCACTCTGTTTAAACCAAATTCAGGTAGGGCTGTGCGATATGACCAAAATCTCATATCCCGATATAAGAATTCTATCATCCTGATAACGATATAAATCACAAAAATGTAGCATTTTCTGTGAATCTCGGGCAGCTCGTCTTGCGGGAAGTGTTTCCAGCTGCGCGTCATGTAGCTGGAGTCGAGTGTTTTAACCATTGACTGTTCTACAGTCAATGGCATAATACAAAGTGATGGCGAAACCTAAAAGACGGTGTCATGTCTGCTCCCTGAAGCAATCTCATAACAGTTTCAATCTATTTCAACCCAGTTAGCACATTTCTGTTATGAAGTTTAATAATTTTTTGGCAGTAAACTTTTAAATCCTTTTATTATGAATATCACGTTTTCAGATTTTCAAGAGAGACCAGACCAATAGGGCAGCAGAAATCACAAAAATAAATAAATAAATAAGAGTTTTATAAAGTTTAAAACAGTAAAAAAAAAGAGAGAGAGAGAGAGACTGGAATGATTATGATGTATAACACAGAATATGTACAATAACAGAGTTATAAACACGAAAACACGTGATACTTTTTATTTCATCTATAACCTCTGTGCAAATTTTGTTGACTGCAAAGTGTTTATGAATATGTTTTTAAAAGCTGGTTATCTGACTGTCAGTTAATAGCAATTAAAAAGAAAGCTGATTTTTATTATTCCTAAATGGAAAAAGTCCATTATGAATTTTTGTTCTGAATTTCATTTATCAATCCACCTCCTCACTGCTCTTTCCCGGTGCAGCAGCCAGAGCTGGATCAAGCAGCCAGATGGCTTCTGGAGGAAGACTAACTGCAACAAAGGGTCTCTGGGAGGCTGCTCAGGCACAGCAGCTGAAAAATCAAAGATGAAATAAAAACTGGACCTGATCATGGTGCTGCATGAGACAAAAAGTCTAGATGATAAACCAGTGTATGAATTGGTAACACTGCTTATGATGATCATGTTTAGATGGAAACTAGCGAGCTAACTTACTGCAAAACTCTAACTCAGTTAAATTGAATAAACTCTGTTTTCTTGGATGCCTGGATGTTAAACTTAATTGTTAAACCCGGTAAAACAGCAACGCTGATCATTTTATTAAAGATGAAAGAAGTTAGACCGTTTTTAGCTCTCAGTGATCCCTCAGTGTTCGTTTGACTTTGGGACCTGAAATATGGCAGCTTTTCACTTACACATTTTTGAACCACTCATTCATAGAAATAGTTTCCAGTCAAAGATCTGGACAGATCCACCAAGTTCACAGTAGTTTTACAATTTTCTGCAGCGCAGAAAAAAACCCCTGAAAACATCACTCCTCTGAAGTAACACATTGTGATTCATGTACAAACAACACACAATTATTGTAGATTCTTCAAAGCCTCCTTATATTCAACACTTGGGTAGGTGGTGTTATACATGCCCTCACAGCACCGGCACATCAATCACCCTATTTTCACCTTGTCACCTTCATTAAGCTGCTCTCTTTCTACAGAAGGCCCACCGCATGCATGGGGGGGGATACCGTGGGCCAGGGCTGTGGCATCTAACGTCTGGTTGTCAGTGTCCTTTGGAAAAGCAAGTGATTGTCCTAAAATCAGATGTCCCAGCAGATTGATCTAGTTTGCCATGCTGGCAAAAGACCAATACACCAAGACAAACAGCCATTTGTGCTTTTTACACAGACAGCCCGTTTAACCAGGGAACTTGACACAATGTATTTTTTTTCTATCCTCTGTTAAATAATTCTGCAACTACCTCTGATAGTGTCCTCATCGTCATAATATTCCCTTTATTTATGATGAGTAATCTTTATCTTCAGAGGTGTGGGTGACAGTTTTAGTGTTTGCTTTAAAAAACAAAAAACAACAAAAACTCAAAACAAAAACTTGATGGAATATTTCTCTGGACAAGAGGTCCTTGGATCGCCTCTCCGTTGTCTTTGTTGAACGCAATGAAGGCAGTGAAAAAACTGCTCACTCCTGATTGGACACTGAGCTGCACCACCTTCTCCTTCACTCCTCCACCTTGCTGTCCTCTGTGCTCTCTCTCCTCCATCTCCAGAAAACAAATCAGTCTGAGCACCAAACCTGTGGACTGTTAGTCTGCAGATAAGAAGGAAAACACACAGAATTCTCATGTTTGTCATTTTTCATACCGTATAGTATATTAGTTTACCAGTCCAACAGATTTATGTTTCCAAATGTATTAGCTCTTTATTATTTCTTTCTTTTCTTTACTTTACCCACCACGGAGGCCGTGGAGACGGTCAGAAAACGATTACAAGAAGACAGCTCTTTGGAGGACAGGACCAACTTCACACCCGATCAGATCTGCACACTGTTAGACCTCTGCCTCACCACTACATATTTCAAGTACAACGAAGGCTTTTACAGACAAAGACATGGCTGTGCCATGGGCTCCCCCGTGTCACCTATTGTAGCCAACCTTTACATGGAGGAAGTGGAAAGGAAGGCTCTTGGCTCTTTCAAAGGAAGAGTACCCAGCCACTGGTACAGATATGTGGACGACACCTGGGTCAAAATCAAGACACAAGAAGTGGAATCCTTCACTGCGCACATTAACGCTGTGGATAAAAACATCAAGTTCACCAGGGAAGACACAAAGGATAACTGTTTGCCTTTCCTGGACTGCGCCGTGCACATTGAAGAGGACGGCAAACTCAACATCGAAATGTACCGGCAGCCCACACACACGGACCAGTACCTCCTTTTTGACTCCCATCACCCTCTGGAACACAAACTTGGAGTAATTAGGACCCTACACCACCGGGCAGAACATGTTCCCTCTCAACCTGAAGGAAAAAAGAAGGAACACACACATGTAAAGGAAGCACTCAAAACGTGCGGCTATCCTAATTGGGCGTTTTTAAAGTCAGCAAAGAGGCACAGAAAAGAAGACCAGACACCAGCGAAGGAGGATAAGAAGGACAGACGCAACAACATTGTTATCCCCTGTGTAGCCGGTGTATCAGAAAAACTCAGGAGAGTTTTCTCCAAGCATGACATCCCGGTGTATTTCAGACCCAGCAACACACTCAGACAGAAACTGGTTCACCCGAAAGACAAAACGCCAAAACACAAACTTAACAATGTGGTGTATGCTATACAGTGCAGTGAGGAATGCTCAGACCTCTACATTGGAGAGACCAAACAGCCACTTCACAAGCGCATGGCACAACACAGAAGAGCCACCTCCACAGGACAAGACTCAGCAGTCCATCTGCATCTTAAGGATAAAGGACACTCTTTCGAGGATGCCAATGTGCACATTTTGGACAGAGAGGACAGATGGTTTGAAAGAGGAGTGAAAGAAGCCATCTATGTCCACTGTGAGCGACCATCTTTGAACAGAGGCGGTGGTTTACGACACCAACTCTCTGCCATCTATAATCCAGTTTTGAGATCCCTTCCCAGACGCCTTAACGCCCACTCACATCCTGGGCCATCTGACCTCAGGAATTCGCATGATAAGGTGGGGCCAGGTTTCACAATGAACACACCCGAAACTCTGGCTGATTGGGACCCACGCCCAGTTTCCCACCTTGGCTCAGGTGATTAGAGGATCATCAGGGGGTCCTTTTGTCCCTCTGTGGGGGTCTCTCCCACTAGGTTTATATCTGGGACTCTCCACCATTTGACCTTAGAACTGAAGAAGCTTCTCGGATGAGAGGTGAAACGTCTTCAAGTAACTTAAAGAAGTCCAGACGCTTTTCTTTGCAAGCTCCTTTGACTACGATGACCTGGATGACTGAGAACCTTCACAGACTTTTCTTTACTTTGAAATTATTACAATCAGAACGGACAGGACTAGGGGATGGGAAAGAGAAAGATGAAGAAAAGAGAAGTTGGGAAGAGGCTCAACAGAAGGGGATGGAAAGCAAAAAATAGGGGAAGAGAGACACAGAGAGAGAAGACACTAAAAATCTGTTTGATCACCTGCTGGGAAAATAAAAACAAGCGAAAAGAGAAAAACACAGTAGCGAAAACACAGCGAAAACCAACATAAGCACAAGTTATAGTAAATAATAAATATCTCCACATCCCGGAAGGGGCCTGATTGTGCCACAGGGGCCACCGGGAGTGAGCCAGTACATACCCATACCCAGCTTCTCCTCTCAGCCCTTCTGCACAAGATGGCGAACAGAGAAAAGGGGTGTGAAGACCCCAAAACCATTGACTGTAGAAAACAGTCAATGGTTTTAACCGATGCATGAAACTATACATTTTTAGACATAAGTTGTAACGGCCGCCGTTTTCTGTGTATTTATTACACAGCGTGCTGGGAAAAGCCTGTTCTAACGTTTGAGTCTAAGGTTTATTTTTTAGCACCTGGCGGCTCTTTTTTTTTTTTACTTCTCATCCATAAATAATTTGCTCTTTCACGTGATTCAGTTTATTTTGAAAAGTCTTAACAGGATCTTGAGCTTTATTGTGAAAGGTTTATGTAGAACATAAACAAGCGGATGGTTTTACCGTCGTTGTTGCTAACCACAACGCATAAAAACAGGCGCTTGTCCGTCTGTGGTGTGGTTATATAAAATATAAGAGAAAGAGAGAACTTTAAGAAATTAATATATCCACTACAGTGACCATCAAAACGATGAAAAAATATTACTGTAAACAGTTTATTTTGCGACAAACGATAACAAAACAAATGATAGTGTAAAATGAAACATAGACGTTTTTATATCGTCATCCGATATATATCGTTATATGAACAGCCCTATACCAGAGGAAGACTTAATTTTCTAAATCACAATGGCTGAAGTGTTCTTTGATAAAAATGCTTCTATAGTTTAGAGGACACTGCATTATTCGAAGAAATGTTCTTTCTTTTTGCTACTCTACACTGAC